TGGAATTCCTAGGAATTCCAAGTCCGAATTACCGTGAAAATTCACACCTTCGATTCCTAGGAATTCCTAGGAATTCTTAGGAATTCCTAGGAATTTTTTTCCTAGGAATTCTTAGGAAATTCCTAGGAATTCCTAGGAATTCTTAAAGTTATCTCACAAGGGAAGGGATATAGAACATTTGATGTGTTTTCACAGTGAAAACACAGTGGGTGCTTTCCATTCAATCAGAAATTCCAAAATTTTCGAAACGGGAACAAATGGTACGGAAATTTCCAGGGAAAGTTTCCAAAAAATCCAGAAATTGTTGAATTTCTGAAAAGCAAATCATTCAAGCAAAAATTTCGGAAATTCCAGGATGAAAATAAAATATAACAGGAATTTCCAGGAAATTTTTTTTGAAAATTTGGGTATACCTCAGGAGGTTGTCCTCCTTTTTGGAAATTATGTAAATCCAGAATTTCTATTCAGCGCTAGTTCTCTGGGCTGTAATCACAGCGAGTTGGACATCCCACTCAAAGATGACTGACGCATATTCGAAAACTGATTAATGTTTTACTTTAGGATCTTGCCACTAGTCTGTCAGCTAAATAAATATGTCAAGATAGTGTTTAATTCCAATTAACACCCAAGTCACTGGTGGAGGGAAGGTGCCTATGAAGCTCAGGGGCTGCAACTGCAGTCACATCCCAAGGCGCTAGAACGCCCGACTGGCCTGCCCAACCTGCAACCAAGCCATGGGCCCCCCATGCCAGGCCCCCTTCAGGCACCTGTCACACTCGAGCCAGATAGCCCAGTGGAGGGATAGGGAGGGAACACCAAGAACTGCTAAACTATTACAATTCAACCGACAACACCACCAACAACATTTTTGTGATACTAGATGTTACCATAGCAATGGGAAAATCTGCTAAAAACATCTTAATTTTATACTTAGGTGATAATATCTCAAAACCAAGTCTTACTAAAGGTGGCTCTAAAACTGCTCTAAAATTACTACATTTTTACCTTCGTACAAAGTTAAATCTTGCATGGTGATTACAATAATTGTATATGGCAATACACAATATATAGGGGACACCAAACTTACACTCACAGTAAAAGTTTAGGGCATTTCTAACAGGTCATACCTTTGCCATGGAAGTTGTAAAATTATGTCAAGGAAATGATTATAAATTGGTCTGCAATGCTTCACCATTATTGTGGCACGCACTGAAAAAGAGTGGTAACATTGATCTATCAAAACAGAAGTGCTGAAGACAGGATGGAAAGTGTTGCCAGCCATCCTTAACTTAAGATTACCCAAGCCTAAAAGCCAGCCAAACTTAAAAGCAGAGCTCCTATTACAATAAATTAACCTGGCTTGAGCCTGTGATCCAATCAAAACCTAGCCTCTCTTCCAGGCGTTCAGTTAGTTAGGGTGCAGTGCAAAAAACAGTGCGTGAAAAAATAAAAAGCACGGCGAGAGCATGTGAAAGAACGCCTGTGAGCAAACTTAACAAAAGGTTGTTCCGGTACACCAGGATCTGGTATACTCTCCGATTGGTCAATTTTGACAGGTTTTGTCAACACTCGAGCATTACTGATATAGATGAGACATGCGCTGTAGTGGCAGTCAGAGGCCCTTCAACGAGTGACACGGTGTTCAAATCTGTGATAAACAACATGCTAAAAGATTTCCCCCATGTGGAGTGCCTTCGCGAAGAACAGAAGGATTGCATAAAAAATATGGTCATAGTTATAGGTTTTGGTAGACATAAGTTGGCGTTGACCGCATGCTAAGTTAATTTAAATTAATATTTACATTAAAGATGATATTATTATCATAAAAGAAGAAACACATACATAAATGCAAGCTAAAATAAAGGAAAAACAATGTCCTGAATATTGTACAGTAGTATCTTAAAGTTAAACTATGGTCAGTTTTGAGTGGTCAGTAAGAATCTTTTATACTTTTTAAAGAGCATGTATGGAAAACGTTTAAGTTCTGGTGGAACAGATTCCCAGATTTTTATTGCGGAGAATTTAAATGTAGATAGACCATAATTAGTACATACTGATGGCTTAAAGAATTTTTGATTTGCAGCATACCTGGTACTATATGAATGAGTCTCTGATGCAGGTGTGAGAATATTCAGCAGTACAGCTGGGGTGTTACTTTTATCATTCTTAAGTTAATGTGCAAAAAGTGATACTTTTAGTCTGTAAATATTTTCAAATTTCAAAATTCCAAGAAGATTATAATATGGGTCAACATGTTCTCTGCCATGAGCAAAGAACATACTTCGTATACATTTATTCTGCTTGGTGCAGATTTAATCCAGTTTTGTAAGCAGCACCCCAGTTGGCAAGACATAGCTTAAGTATGGATAAATAAGGATATAATATAATTGTTTGAGCATATGAAAATCAAAATAGTGTCTTAGCTTATTAATTATACCTACATTCTTTGCTAATTTATTATTTACATGTTGAATTTGGGGTTCCCACTGTAGATGCTTATCAAGGTATATACCTAGATACTTAATATAGCTTTTGCATTCGATATTGTGGATATTTAAATGTATTTTTTTCTTTGATGTTGCGTGGCGTGGTCGTTGGGCGCGTTTTCCCACGATCCATGCTGTTAGCCATGTTAACCATGAAAAAAGAGTTGCATGGGTTTTTGTTTTTCTGCATGCATGTGGTTCTGTTTCTATAGTTATGGTGCTCCGCTTGTGGGCCCTTCGGGCTTCCGGAGCTCCGCTACAAAATCTTGTCCCTTGTACACGATAGCTTGTAACTTCGAATTATTTATCACAGCAAAGTGGGTTATCACAGCAAAGTGGGTTTTTATACCTAATAGACTAGTTTCGTTTATTTTGTTTTTAATAACTGTACGCTTAAACTTAAGCTTACATATATGAAGTAAAGTTTAATATGGAGGTAGTAACAATCACCTTGAAATTCAAAGAGCTCTGCATCAGTTCACCAAATGTTTCTACAGTTTTCGGTCCCCAATGCAAGCTCTTTAGCGTTGATACCAATGACAATTTCTTCGCCAACTCGGGTTATTTGAAGTCGAAAAGCAGACACTCTGCATAGCCATTTCTCTGACTCCTTACGTTGTTCAGGCAGGTGTGCGAAGGTGCTAGAGCCTCCGGGGGACCTGGGGGCTATTCTCATGGCCGATATAAAGTATAAACAGAACGGGATCAACGACGAATAACAAACCGTTGTCGTGAAATTGTTCCTTGAATTAATCAAACGGCTTGGAAAATTTTCCCAAACATTTTCTTCGCAATGTCTGGGTTTCTCCAGAGGTATACTGCTCTGTACCCGCCAAAAACGGAACGAAACTTTTAAAAACTTTGGTACTCCTACCTCAAATCCCCATCACGACAGCAGCAACTTTTATTTTGTGCTGTTTAGAATCACATATGAAAAAACAACAACAAAAAAGATTCCATATTTAACATTTGCAGCCAGACACCATAGAGAGGGCACAGCCACTCAGAAATAGGAAATGCAGTAAGGAACGAAGACTCGAGGTACGAGATTAGCATGGCTAGTCGTGCTAAGTGGCTGGGCAATGCGAGGAAGAGTACAAAAAAAAAAAAGAAAACAGTCGTGCAGTAAAGTAGTCGTAGTAGCTAGAGGTGGCCGTTATGGGGAGTTCGGGGTATAATGTGTTACCTTTTTCTTCGGGGGTAAAACATTTTGTTTTCAAAAATGTTTATTTCAGCGAATATGAACCAAAATGTATCAATAAAAAAGAAACTTAAGGGGGTATGGTACCCTAAAATATGGCGATGTTCATGAAAAATTCAATTTCTTGGAAATACAAGACTTAAGACCCTTGGGACTTGTCAAAAACATTTTGAAACGATCTTGCCGAATTTCCTTCCAGATGAGTGTGAAATTTAAGGAAAGTACACAGTGGTGTAAGTTTTTTCACGTGGTAACGGCCATAGCAACGACTGTTTACTATAAGAACGCGACCAAGAATATAGATTATTTTTAATTTATATGAACGAAACTATTTAGAAAAAAACTTTTAAGACATGCACAACTCGATTGGTATAATTATTTGTGAAAAGCTTTGTCTCAAATAACCATCACAGGCTCATTCATTTCCCTTTCTACAAAATAGAACAACCATTGCACCCCATCCCCCGAGATCCAATCTGCACCCCCCCCCCCCCCC